TGGAAAGAGCCTGAGTCCCTGACACCACTATGGCAAAATGGCCCTGGATCACCTGTATCCAGACATTTTCAGACATAAAATAAATAAACTTCAATCTTGTTAAAGCCCGTTCCTGGGGTGTTTTTTTGTCACTTGTAACCAAATCTAATGCTAATGTCAATAGCAGTAACTACTGTATGACTTGTTAAAAGAATCTCACTAAAATAATAGAGTAATTAAATATGCTTGTTCTATATAAGTTCAGAGCTTGCTTTTAGGTGTAATTTAAAAGTGACTGTGATTACCACCCGGATAAGAGTGTGTGTTCTTCAAATGCATCCAATACAGCAGTTGCATATATTGGGCAACACTGTGAACCCAATCTTCTATTTTGCTCTTCAACTTTTCTTAAGTATTTTTCCTTTGGTTTAAATACCAAAAATGCAATATATCTTATAGGAAAATCCCTAATGCATAAAAAACATTTCTTCTCTAGAAGACAGATATAAAAATTGTGAAAAATCTATTTGTAGAAGCACATGTGATTATTGAAAATTATTCACGTTGAGCATTACTGAATTTCCGGGCAAAGCTGTTCATTTCACAGATTTTATATCCCTGATTAAGTTAGAGACTTATATAATCAAGCAAGCCCTTCACTTCAAGATCCACCATAAACTCTAGTGCCTAAAGGGGCCACGTTACATAGTCACATGTGGGGTTGTGAGAAAATAGGGAACACTGCCTCTGAACCAAGCAATGGTTCCTTCCAAAAAAGAACACCTTGAGTGAGTGGGGGCCACTATCATCAGAGTTTCTGATTTTTTAAAAAGAAGCCAAAATACTTGCTTTTTAAATGTGTTATCTTCCAATGGTCAATTAAAAAATTTAAAAACACAATGCACACCAAATCAAACATCTCTATGGGCTGAGTACCATTTTCAGTTTATAGTCTAAATGTAATTGGATCTGAGTTTGCAAAATCAGATTTTAAAGAATTACTTTAATTTGGCTTTAATATAACTGTTCTTATTGATTAAAAATCACCTGAACCCAATGTAAAGGAAACATAATAAATGACAATTTGTTAAATAGAGCAAATGACATGTTGGAGGACTACCATATACTTTTTGAGTTAGACAGCACTTATCTGGAATGAAACGCAGAGAAGTTGTGACTTTGTTTGCCCAGGCCAACAGGCCTTGGGGATAAACAACGGTTTTTGTTGACACAGGGATGACTTTGTCTCTGTGATTGCACCTGCCTGTCACCCTGTCAGAAAGATGGCATTTCTTTTTCAACTGAATTAAAGAAATTTGTCAAATGCTTTTTATGTGCCAGAAACTGTTTTAGGTGCTAAGGACACAAAATTGAGTAAACCAGTCTCTGTTTTCAAAGAGTTCATAGTTTAGTGGGGGGAGAAAGAAGTATAAACAATTATAATACAATATACTATTTGTTATTAAATCAAAGATGCCATCAATTAAAAGATACACCATTATTTCTTTTTTTATTATTATTTTTTAAAATATATTTTTTATTGATTTTTTACAGAGAGGAAGGGAGAGAGATAGAGAGTTAGAAACATCGATGAGAGAGAAACATCGATCAGCTGCCTCTTGCACATCTCCTACTGGGGATGTGCCCGCAACCCAGGTACATGCCCTTGACCAGAATCGAACCCGGGACCTTTCGGTCCGCAGGCTGACGCTCTATCCACTGAGCCAAACCGGTTTCAGCACACCATTATTTCTTGTACCTCTAAGAAAAAAATTGTTTGAAGCTTAAATAAAGATTTCAAACAGTGCTCAGCAGTGCTTTTGATCTAAGTAAGTGCTCAAGAAAGGTTTGCTATTATTAGCAGAGGTATTAATGATAGAACTTAAACTTGAAGAAAGACTAGGCCTTTTCCAAGAGATAAGGGAGAAAACAGAATCCAAGGAGAAATAACAGGCACAAACACCTAGAGGCCTGTTTTGGAAACATTCTTTCTGTCTGCTGTGCTGTAGTAGGTGAGGGATTTTCCCTTGGGAAATTATCTTTTTTGACACCCTCTTCTTTCTCCTAGACTTTCCTCCCCTCCCCTCCAGTCCAACACAACCACAAAGTCAGTTTGATTTTTTTTTCAGATTTATACTCAAAAGCATGCACCTGGCCCTGTACTCAATTATGAACTTGGCTCCTCAGAGCAATGATACTACTTACTTGTCTTCCATTTCCCTCCTCACTCCCACATCCCACCCTCTTCATGTTGGGAGAAGCTTTTGTCTGACATCCTTGATTTAAGAGGATTAATTGAACCCAGTGCCTGCCAGGTTCTTTCAGGGGACTTCATGCAAATAGGGCTCCAGGTGGTCGCTCCTGATTTCCCAGAGTTCCCCAAAGGGGTAACACTCTGTTAGGACATTTACTACAAATAACATTTGGTGAGCCTAACCCCCTCTGAGGTTTGGAGAAGTTACTGGAAGTGCACAAAAGTAGCCAGTTAATAACAGAATTGACCCTTTCAGTGTTTTGCTGCATTGTCATTCAAAATGTTTTTCCTCCTAAAAGATTTTCTTCTCAGTATTTTTGCAATTAACACAATGTCCCCCCCCACCCCCTTTTTAGAAATTAACTAGTATTTTGAGTAAGAAACCTAGCTGGCCTTTGAATTTGAGTTCATTCATCCACTCATGCCTCCACACATATATACTGGGTACCTGCTTAGGATCGTGTACTCAGCTACGAGTAGAGGATTTAAAGTTGAACAAGATGAGCATTGTCCCTACTCTCACAGAGCGTACAGTCTAGCAGAGGCGGAAATTAAAATAATTTTCGAGGCTTAGAGAAAAGGAAAACTAGAGAAAGCATCTCTGAGGAAGTTCCTGTGGAGTAGAGACCAAAAGGGCGGGGAGAATAAGCTGCATAACAGAATGAGGGCAGAGAAGCGATAAGACGAGATTGAAATATATTGCAAACCATGTAACAGCAGACATGTGAATGAGTGCATGTATATTATTAAACATACATCCCTCTGTAGCTCTCCAATCTCTGTCCCAGGTCTTCTTTCCACCAAGCTCCCTATCTCTGCTCCTTTCTCAGAACAACCTCTTTTTATTTTTCATAATCTTGTTTTATGGATGTTTATTATATTAGGGTATTAGTACACCATTGGGTTTGCGCTGGAGACAAGAGCCTTTCTGGATATAGAAGTGACCTGATTATTTTGTTGATTATTTGGGAAGACATGTCTTAGATCAGATCCTGGAGCTGAGAGGGATGTGAGGAGCTTGTAAGTGGAATTTGGTTTCTCTTGGTTTTGATTCTGAAAAATGAAATATGCATAGAAGTCAGGGAAGGGGGGGGGTAATAATAGTATTAATTTTTTTTATTGAGATCCAGCTTAGAAATATATTAATATAGCAACCTAGCCTATGCATACATTATTAAAACACTAGTTCCCCAAAATTTGTGTTTTGGAAAAAATTACCCTAATTACATGTGATACAATCTGATCTTTATATTTTGGATTCTGATTAGTGTTTCTCAGGGTGGCAATCTATTAATAGGTCACAAAACCAACTTAGTGGATCATGGTATCCACCTAAAAAAATGAAATTAGAAGCAGAATATGGAGATAGACTGGAAAATAGTGAAGATTCCTCTATATTGTGGCCTTCCCTTTGTCCCTAGGGAACACATTTTTGGTTTCTACTAGAGGCTGTGTTTCTTGGGTTTGCAAACTGTTTACCTGAATAAAGTTTCTCCTTTCACTGAACTCCAGGTTGGGACTCCTGTTGCCATTGCATTGGTGACAGCAGCTTTTGATTGACAGGCATATCTAGACTCATTTAAAAAGAATTCTCATTTTTGGAATGATATACTATAAACCTGTAAATAATGTAATTAACAATTTAGAGGTTTCTTAAATTTGTGATTTTGCAAGGAAAAACATACTGTTTTTTAAAATATATGTAGAATTTTTAAAAATTGCTAATTTTTCTAACTGCTCCACAGAACAAAACCTTATTATAGTTAAAATTATGTAAAAACTTCACAAATTTCTTACATCAGTTGATAATCATTAAAATCTCATATGAAATTATATTAAGATACAATGTACACATACTCTTTAAAAATACAGAAACTTTAAAAAACTTTGATTACTTAGGTAGATCTTTTTCTAAATAATAGATGTGTTTATTTTTAACTAACGTTGAGTTAAAAAAACTAACATTCCTGTCATCATTCTTTCCTATGGAGTTACTATACTGTTTTCAATGAGAGTGTAAAGGAACCATTGTTTCAGATTTTATTTACACTGGATCTGCCTGGAAAAACCCCAAGTCTCATCTACCCATTTGTCGTGATTCCAAATAAGTTTTTAAAAGTGTCCTTGCTACCTTCACCTTAGGGTCTATTTTCAAGGCCTGTTTTTCCTACTTAATTTATTTTCTCCAAGACAGACTTGTCGCAGCCACTTTTTACTTTAACACCTATTATTTTTTCTGCTTCAGAGTACTCTAAGAATCCTACAAGCTAGAAATGCTCTGTTAATACATTGTCAGTTCTGGGAACCTGCCCTTTCCTTCTCCTGAGCCATCTTTAAACCAGATCTCTCTGGTGAAAATGTGAGGGCAGAAATCTGGGGCTGGGCACGCGAGATGTCGTCACACGAGTGGGAGGTGGTGGAAAGTTGACACCAGCAAAGAAGTGTGCATATTTGTTTACACGGATCAACTTCTATTAAATGTAACAGAGATAAGCCGACACCGGGAATCCGGTAGGAGGGGGAGAGACTAAAATGTCTCAGGGAAAGGCTAGAGATGGAAAGGAGACAGACAGGGCGAGGGAGCTGGGCGCCCGCCACAGCCGCGAGAGGAGCCTGCAGGGCGGACTGCGGGGCAGGCCGAGTCGGGGCGGGGCCGGTTGGAGCGAAGCCCGGGGCGGGGCGGGGCGGGGCGGGGCCGGGGCGGGCCCATGGGAGACCTGACACCTCTCGGCAAGAACCCGCAGGCACCCGGCGGAGAGCACACGGCTGTTCCCACACGTGGAGAACTTTTAACGAACACGTGAGGAAAAGACAGCAGTGTCTGTGGAAAATCTGCCTCAACTCCGGCGTCCTGCCCAACCCCTTTCCTAACAGCTGGTTTGCTGTGCCCCGGGGGTCTTCGCCCCCTTCTACTGCTGTCCCAGCTGCGGGTCACACGCTTGGAACGCAGCTCTCCCGAGCGGCCCCACCCTGGGCACCCGGACGCGCGAAGCACCCGGCGGCCTTGCAACCCGTCTGCGCCTGCGCCCGCGCCCAGAGTTCCAAGACGGGGGCGGGGCCCTGAGGAAAGGGGCGTGTCTCTCGCCGGGCGCGCTGGGGGCGGAGCCGTGGGACCCGTGTGGTCCTGTGACCTGCGGGTTGACCTTCCCGAACGCTGGGTCCCGTGACGTCACCTCGCCGTGACGCGCACGCTGTAGGAAAACTGTAAGTTTCGGAGGATTCCTGCAGCTCCCCGGGCCTGCGGGGCTCTCCCTGCTGCTCGTCTTCCTGGTGTTGGTAGTGGCTGTGGGTTGTTAGATCCTGGTGCGACCGGAGAGCCGCCGAACCTGGCTAAGGGACAGGTGCTGCCTGGGCGGGAGCGCGCCCTCTGTGGTGGGAGGGCCAGGAGTGCCTGCAGCGAGGCCGCACTCCGCTGCACGGGGCCCCAGCCTTTTCTCCTGGTGTCTATAGGGCTTTCAGAGCCTGGGGGCGAGGTCATCCCAGGGGCAAGGTCCAAATAGGAGAGTCCTCCTTTTTCTTCATTGTCGGAGGGACTTTGATTCCCTTCAGCCCAGGAGTTTGACATTGCTAAGTCTGGGGTAGAAGTTTCCTTCAGAGATTCCATATCCAGGCTTCCTTTGCGACCCCAGGAGTTACCAAATCGCCTAAGACAATTTGTAAAGAGACCCACTTGCTGCCTCAGTTTTCTTTTTGTGTAAAATGGCGTTGAAGCAGAGTCTGGCCTTCCTAGTTGTCATTCCCACAGGAATAGGAATTGTGAGAGCACGTGAGGTAATACAAACACATAACCTTGCTGGAAGAAAGCTTATGAAGACAATTGGTTATTCTGAGAATGTACTGGCCAATGGCTATTTGACAAAGGTCTGGTAGATAGTGACGTTTTTTACAATTCTGCCTCCTCACCTTGCCCCCCTCGCTAATCTGATCCCAGACAACACTTGAGCCTGGGGTGTGGTCTGAACTTCATCATTGAATTTGGTGGAATACGGATCAAGAAATAACTGGTACCATTATCACAATGATCTGGACAATTACGCAGCCCCCTTTGGGTTTTTCAGAGACAGCTTTTAGAGTGTTGAAACTAGTACTTTATGCTCAGTACAGATGTACTGTGAGTTTTAGGGGCTTTGCTGTGTAAACTTAGAATATACCATCATTATATCTGACTCCTTGAATTTTTTGGCTTGCCAAGTGTTAATACAGTATTAATGAGTTTGTACCATACGCAAAAGTATGTACCATGTACACACTTCAGGAGATTGAAAGGTCACATTTCTGTAAATTCAGTTTCAAGGGTGTAATTTCCTTCCATCTTGGTTTGAGGAGGCTTAGAAAGCAGGGATCCTTACATTTGTTCTATCAGTTATTAGCTCTGTGTCTAAAGACAGTCACCCAAACTTGGACTTTTCTAAGATGGGAGATGATGGTATATCTGCTGTTGCTTTTTCAAGGATCAAATGAGGTCATGAAGTTTGTTATTGCTATTAAGAAATTTTCATTGGTCCCCAGGCCTGGAAAAGAGAAATAAGAGATGTGTGCATTCAAAGTCAGGTTCTAAGTCACAACTAGAACTAGAGCAGCAAACAAGACACAATCTCCAACCTAGTGGAGCTCATGTTCCATGGGGAAATAGGCAACAAAGAGTAAGTACATAATACTATTTCAAATAGTGACACATAAAATGATATAAAGGAAGATAAGAGAAAAACAGACAGTGGGAGAGCAGGACAGGTTATTTTAAGGTCTATCAGGGAAGGCTTTTCAAAGGAGGTGACAGCTGAGTCAATTGAAGTGGAAGAAGAGCCTGAGGTAGGAACATTTCGGGGAGGAATAATAACAGCAGTAAACACTTAAGTACAGCTTATATGTGAGGCACTCTTATAAACACAAAATTAAATTATTACAACAACCTTATGAAGTAAGTACTCATTCCCATTTTTATAGATGAGGAAACTGACACAGAAAGATTAAGAATTTGCTCAAGGTTGCACAGCTGAAATGTGATGGAGACAGTATTTGAATTTGGGCAATTTGACCTCACAGTCCATGCTCCAGTCAACAATACTGCCTCACAGTAGGAACAACAATGGAACGATGCTCAGTGGTGGAAGCAAGTCTGAGGTGCCAAGGCATTGCAAGGTAACAGTGTTGAGAAAACAACAAGGAAAGGGGCAAGGGATGGCAGATGATGTTGGAGGGCCAGGCAGACTGTGGGGCCTTTGTAGGCTGTGATGAGGTAAAGATGTTATTCTAAGAGTGGTGGAAAACCTTTGGAAGGTTTGCATTAAAGTAATAGCATCTGATTTCTGTTTTATTAGGTAGAATCTTAATTGAAGGGTCATGGAATGGGGAGTCTTAAAAATGGGAAGATAGGAAACTATTGCTGTACCTGGTGGTGTGTTGGGCTAGGGGAGGTAGTTGGTAGAGATGATAAGAAGTAGTTAAATTCATGATATACTTTTGAAGGTAGAGCTGCTGGTGTGGACTTACTAATGTGGGTTTCTCTAAAACCTAAAACTTTTAGGTTTTAGGCTGGAACAACTGGAAGGTAATGCTGTTTATTGAGAAGGGAGAAAGGGGTTTGAGCAGGAAATCATGATTTTTGTTTTGGACAAGTTTCAGATGCCTAGTAACATTAGTACTGGTGCTGCTAATAATAATAGTAAGCACTATGTAAGCATACACTGTGTAGTAGGCAGGGTTTTAAGCATTTTTACATATCAGTTCATTTAATTATTATAACAGTTGTATGTCTCCATTTTACAAATGAGAAAACAGGCTCAGAGAGGTTAAAAGTCACTTGCCGAAAGTCACCCAGCTTGTGAGTGGTGGAGCTGGGATTCAAACCCAAGCAGTCTGTCTTCAGAGTCCATGCAGTTAATTTCTGTAACTACCTCCATGTTAATATGTTGAGTAGGCATTTGGGTATATGAATATAGAACTCAGGAGAATGATCAGGGCTGGAGACACACATTTATATTCCTGAAGGGAAAGACTATGTTCTTTCTCATCTAAGTCTTGGTTGGCAATAGGCAAAAAAGAACATAGGCAACGGGGCTGTGCTAACTGGTCACTAATTACTTGATTCTGTTCATGCAGCCAATATTCAATATTCCCCTTCCATGAGGTTCCATGAGGGTGAGATACATATCTCTTTCACTTCCCTAATTCTAGTCCCTAATCTAATGCCTGCCATGTAGACTTTAGGGATGACTTTATATGCAGGACATTTGGATAAATTTTGGAGGTTAGAGATGAATAAAACAGCATTTTTCCTGGAGGAACTTAGTATGATGAAAAACCTGTGGGAATAAAGCTAGAGTAGACTAACTGCATAAATGCATGCTGATTAGTTCATTCTGGCCTTCTGTAGCCACCTCCGCCCTATTTACTTAAGAGATGGGGCATGAAGGGTTCAAAGAAGCAAAAGAATGCCTAAGCAATTGCAGGATGAATTTGAGGCTCTCCCAAACCTTTTCAACAAAAAAGAATTCCTCAAAATCTTGCATATATTACTGTATTTGCATTAATTTTATTTGGCAGTGATAAAATTTTTACAAAATGAAATATATTCTGATATTTGAATATCATTGTGGATTGATGAGTTTTTTCCAGTTCTATTACCTCAGTGTTGACAGGGCTCACTAGTGAAATAAGGGAGTCAGCTTGAAAAGCTGCAGCTTGCATAATAGAGGGTGATGGAGGGGCTGTGCGAAGTATTTAGTCAGGTTTCCACCAGTTTCAGTCTTTCACTCCAAAGTTCCACATAATGAAATAAGTTTGATTCCTCTGATGATCATCTCTTTAAATATCTTATATGTGAACATTATAAAATGTAGAAACTAGAACAATACACACACAAAATAAGAATCTTATTTCTGTAAATTTCTTTCAGGGTATGCTATACCTCAATTCATTTATCACAATTTTATTACTTCCTAACATGAGTATTTCAAATTTGAGCTGTTAAAAGATTAGGTAAAACTGCACTATTATAGATTTTATGGTTAAATTCAGAGTTTTTATTCCAGTATATAAAATTATATTTTGTTTAGCTTTTTTGCTTCCAGTGGGAGTGTTGATCTGAATAAACAAATCTACCAGTAATTCTTTTTTTAAAAAAAATATATTTTATTGATTTTTTTTACAGAGAAGAAGGGAGAGGGATAGAGAAACATCGATGAGCGAGAAACATTGATCAGCTGCCTCCTGCACACCCCTTATTGGGGATGTGCCTGCAACCAAGGTGTATGCCCTTGACTGGAATCAAACCTGGGACCCTTCAGTCCACAGGCCGACGCTCTATCCACTGAGCCAAACCAGTAATTCTAAACAGGAACCTTCCACAAATATATTGTAGAGATGATGTGCCATCTCATTTTGCAGTTCACAACATTTTAAATCTGCTATTGTAGCTTCCATAAATTTAATGGAGTTGAAATGATTAGCATTTCTTTTTTTTAAATATATTTTTATTGATTTCAGAGAGGGAGAGAGAGATAGAAACATCAATGATGAGAGAGAATCATTCATCGGCTGCCTTCTGCACGCCCCCTACCGGGGATTGAGACCGCAACCCAGGTATGTGCCTTTGACCTGAATGGAGCCCATACTCTTCAGTCCCCAGGCCAATGCTGTATCCACTGAGCCAAACCTGCTAGGGTTGATTAGCATTTCTTTATACCACAATAGTATTTAGCTTCTTTAAGAATATTAGATATGGTATAAAGTAGAATTTAATCTTAAATGGCCTGTTGATTTCTCAGGCTTTGTCACTTTGTAAGTTCAGGCTCGGTGAGGGCAGATTGATGGTTATTTTGTTGTTTCAGATAGCTCCCAGCAGAGCAGGAGTGATGGTAAGCCCTCCTATTGGAAGACAACAGAAGCCACTCTTTCTAACACTGAACCATATGAAATATAGCATCATATGAAATAGGAGAAATAACTTATAAAATAAAAATTCCTTTGAAAATTCATATTACATAAATAAATTTAAAAACTACTACCTCATGTTAAGAGAACAAATGTAAATATATGGAAATTGTTTCTTAAGAAAACCATGCATCTATACCAATGATGCTATGTAGTGTCACTAAATAAAATTTTTAAAATTCCACTTCTTGTGGTTTCTTTTATTGTAGCTGGGGTTCAGTAGATCTTAAAGCAGTCAGTGTCCAGAGTTTCCTTTCCATATTGGAGTAGAG